TAGATATTACCATTTAGTAAACATATAATTGTTTTGTAATGATAAACAATCTTTACGCGTCTGTGCTTCCTTTCATCTTTACACACACGTCACTGTGTTTGTTCATGTTCAAACGAATAGCTGAACATAACAGTCAGTATCTCGACACAGAACACTGGGATATCAGACTCGTACCATCGCTCACTCGAATGTCTAATAAAAAAAGAACGTATTGGCGTGTATACTAGATCAAGGAAACTAGGAAAATTTGAAAGTATTAGACATTCAACGGAATTTTTCGGTTGATCAAGGCCTTATAGAACCTCCATGTACATCTACTTTACGTAAACTAGATAAATAAATACAGTAAATAAATAAAACGTTGCAAAACTTCACTTAGAGGAGCACCTTGGAAAAGCAGAGATATCTCCACATCTTTCTTCAATTAGGGCACTTTAATTATTCTACATTTAAGGCAGAAGAGTGTTCAGAATAATTTTGCAAGGAGGAATGTTAGAAGGATTAATATTTCGGCGTCCTTTCCCTGACTTTCATGAGGTTTATACTAGTTCCTGACTGTGATATTTTTAGATCTGTTCATTTGCTCACTTCTTCCCTGTTACACTCTCTCTTATATAATAATAATAATAATAATAATAATAATAATAATAATAATGATAATAATAAATGTCATCATAAGATTATGTAAATGTTATAAAGTACAGTTGGATATTGTATAAAGACTCGTTATAAGACCATATGACACGAGTAGGATAAGTATTTTCGTGATATTGTAATCACCACTGCAGTCGTGTTATTTTATGCCAGAAATCTTTATGGTCAAACTTTGTCATATCTTGTAACAGTTTAAATTCATAAATACACAACAGCTGTTGATTTAAGAAGATTCCAATGGACTGGTCTTTCATTTTTTTATCCATTTGTGCAACCATTAAAAATGTCATTAAGAAGTCACTCACTATATTTTTGTTTTTGTTTTTTTTTATTTGTAGTACAAATACGTCAGAGTTTATTCCGTAAAAAAAGAAAAAAAAAAATAAACGATTCTACCTCTTAACATGTAAATTTCTGTTCCTTTATAAATAGGACATGCGTGCTACTTGATTTCTTTTAATGAGAAGGAATGTGTGTGTATGTATATATATATATACACAAACATATTTATATATATATATATATATATATATATATATATATATATATATATATATATATATAAATGTGTATATGTATATATATGTACATATATATGTATGTATATATTTACACGCACACACACACACACGCACACACACACACACACACACACACACACACACACACACACACACATATATATATAGACACACACACATATATATATATATATATACGCATATTTATATATACACTAAATAAATGGATTTTAAATAAATTGATAATACTTTAATACTACTGCTCTAAACACGGACCCCCATCAGAATCAAAAACATCACAACACAAAAGTCAAAAGCAACCGGGACAGACACCAAAACATCTGTACAACATCACAGCCAGCCGTCATTACCATCGCTAATGACTAACAGTTTGTGCTTGGGGGAAGAGGTCGGCAAGGTGGGAGGTAAGGAGTTAACTGCCGCACGCGAGGAACAGCTGGAGAGGGCGCCGCGGTGCCTCGGGAGATATCGACGTCGACGAGCTTATTCCAAAACTGTAACAGCGATACAGATTTTTTTTCTATGAATGTAGAGGTGGAAGGTATTAGCGTTAGTCTGTTATTCGCCTTGCTGAATATTTGCTTGTTATTCGTGTTTTATTTCTCCCTTCGTGAGATTGCCGTTAAATGTAAACTAATTCAAGTTCGTATTCATCTGGCTGTGGATGATGTCTTCCAGAAGCTACTAGAAGATTTTTTTTTCTTCGTTAGCTAATAGATTTCTACATAGCAATAGCATTGAACTGTACACACATACTCTTTTTAAAAATGTCTTCAGAAATTCAGTGTATAACTTAGATGTATATATATATCCACAGACCTCCAATATCTTTTTTTTTGCCGAAAGTTCAAATAACCCCAAAGCTCGTATAAGAAAAAAATAAAGAAAGCGAAAAAAACGACAAAACAACAATACATATTTTGGAAGAAATGTAAAAGCTACTTGATATTTAGATTTTTCTTCCATATATTACAAAAAAAAACATTTGTTTTATTCTTATTGTATACGAAGAGTGTCAAAATTAAATTAAATATGAAATAGTAGTCAGAGGATGAATTAGAATATGGATAAAGATATAAATAGAAACAGAAAAAAATAAAAGCGTGGACAAGAACCAAAAGAAATAATACTAAATATACCAAGGAAGAGCACGAAAACTACTACGTCTGTGGACACGTTCTGTGCACGGTATACAGTATGTAGTATATATATGTAAATGTATATATATATATATATATATATATATATATATATATATATATATATATATATACATCTGTGTGTAAATATCTATAAATATATTT